CTTCCTCTTCTCTCTCTCTCACCCCCTTTCCCTCTCCCTCCCCCGTCTCTCTTACTCACTCACTCACTCATATATTCCACTGCCTCTCCCCATCTCTCTATCTTCTCTCTTCCCTGCTCTTTTCGTCTTTCCTCTCCCCTTCTGCCACCCCCTCGAATCCCTTCGACTTTCCGTTATCATCTCGGCGCTCGCCTCGGGCTAAAATAAAGAGAGGTACGACAAGAGGGAGGGAATAATAAAGAAGAGAGAAGAGAGAAGAAACGATAAACGTGAGAGAAAGAGGAATAAAGAGTGCACGGACGAGAAAAATTGAAGGAAAAGAACAGAGAGGGCGGAGGAAAAAGGATTCGACATGGACGGGTTAGCGAGCGTGGAGGAAGGATTGGTAATGCAAGGAGACAAGGAAACGAATGAGAGAGAGAGAGAGAGAGAGAGAGAGAGAGAGAGAGAGAGAGAGAGAGAGAGAGAGAGAGAGAGAGAGAGAGAGACACGAGAGAGTCGCATCGTTACTCGTGTGTGCATGCATCTTTTATACATCACCGTCCGTGCTTTCCTGTTGCACGCCTCGCTCGAGCTCGAATCCAAAAGCGAAACACTTTGCCTTTCCATCCGGCGTTAGCTCTTTACCTAAATCAAACTCGCGCAGAAGCCTAACAATTTCCGCTTCATCGGGTATCAAAAATAACTTTGATACTTTCGCGCAATTAATCGGCATGGCAAAATTCCTAGAGAATATTTACTCGTTATTAAACAAGATTAGCCTTACGATGAAACTTAAAAAGACAATTTTATTATTAAATATTGAAAAAATGATATTATTAATTTTTTATTGAAAAATTGACAAATTTTATTTTATTAAAATTTTTGTCAAATATGCGTTAAATATCGTTTTTCAGGTGATTATTTTCTTGTGCGATAATATTTTTTTGATGATTTGCGACAAAGTAAGACTCTTAAGCTATATGAAAATCGACGACAGAAGCAATAACGTAATTACCGCGTGTCGTAATCATAGTCATCGGCACCATAAATATGTAAATGTGTGCAATGTAAATGCTGCATTTTGCACGAGGTGATAATTACCATATCGCATTGACTTATTCATTATAGGACCACTAATTAAGGTAATTGTTCCAATGTTCAATTAAATTCAACGAAGAAGAGTCGAGTGACGCTTGCACCGATTACATCGTGATACGTTACCGTTGTTGGAATTATCGTTGATTGATAGCTGCTTCAATAAATACGATGAACTAATTGGATATCGCAATCAACGTCTGCGTTTTTATTGATTGCCGCGCCGTATTATTATACCGCACGCATCGCATTATTGCGTACGCGTGTACTTTGAAATTTTATATTGATTGACGATAAAACATTACTTTATCTTCACTTAATAACTACCCGCCATAATTGATAGCGATAATTGATAAGAGAGATCGTTAAGCCGTTTGCGTTATTTATATATTTTAAACATTTACAAACATTTCACTTGATATGAATTGAGAAAAAATATTCTTGTACAAATATTAATAATTGTACTAATGCGGCAAACGCGCTGAGGAACTTCAACTTTTCGTTCAAACTTCTTTCAACTTCTTCGTTTCTTACCTCCCTCGCTCTCTTCGTTTAAGGAAGTGTTTGTGCATTATAAGACGTAGTTTATGCCAAAAGTGAGCTTAGCCAAATGAGAATTTATGATCTGCCGTGCCAAAAAATTCTCAGCTCGCCGCGCTTGAATCTTCCTCGCCGTTGACAGCATTACTGTTACACGTGGCAGACCTGATGCACACACACATACACACACACACACACACACACGTGTGCACACATATTGGCGCGCCGCTTTATATATCTGCGAATCTAATTCCTTTCCTCTCTGCTTTATGAGAACGAATGGGTACGCCTTGCTCGCTCATTTCGCGAGCTTTCGCCGGAAGCGAGCTTAAAGAACACTACTCCCTCAATTCGGATCTTCCTTTTCCATTCTTTACGAGCTCACCAGTGCATCTTCGCTATCTAACTTTTTATGTGCGTACCACGTGTCTTGGGAAAGCCGGCAGTTTGCAAAAAGAATTTGCGCTTTAATGAATTTGGAATTAAATCTTTCTTTACGAAGATTTAAAGTTCTCCTATTTGCCCATTGCAATCTTTTAAAATTTTTACCTGTATCTCGTGCAAGTTAAATTTTTCTGCTATCGAAAAATTCACTCTAATTGAATCTCAGAGAATTTTCCCATGACAACAATCCTTGAAATTCATCTTGTGAAAATTTTTAACAGTAATATTTAAATAAACGGTATATGGTAAATGGTTCTACAACGCGCACAAGTTTAACTTGTGAAAATTTAATAGAGAAAGCAATTATTCGTAAACCCGTTAAAGTATATTTCTCGTGACAATCTCCTAAAATTATGGATGAAATTTCATTTCGCGATAAGACGTAGCGAAACATCCGAAGGGGGAACATTTTGGTCGAAGGTAAAATAATGTAGGCAAGGAAACACAGGAGAAATACAATTCAGGGGCTTTCCGTTCTTCCCTTCTCGTTCGGAGGAAGTTTTAGGATTCTTCGTGCCGTTTGCGGGACGGCCCGTTCTTGCTGTTTTCAGCCTCTACCGTCACCACCACCACCACCGCTACTACCATTTCCTCCACCATCGCCACGATACGTCCCGGGGCGAAGTTTTAAATGACCAAGTTTCGCCGAGGGAGACCGATGCATATTTACGCGGGCGCCCGTCGTAAATTCGCGAACGAGATTACCAGATAAAAAGCAATATCGAGCGCGCGCGATCACGCCGGACGTTCGCCAGTTGAGTACAAAGTTGCCCCGCGGTGGCTTCCGGTAACGATGTTAGTTTATCGGCGGTAGCCGTGTAGCGTAGTAAATGCCTCCTCGTTCCTCGCGAGAAAGCGGATACCCCGGCTACCTGCCACTGGAAAAATGGAAGCGTGAAAAATGCATACGGTGATGCGCCAGCAGCGGGATAGATTTATCGACCGGTAAAGATACGAGGCATCGCGCTATTTAAATGGTAATGGAAACGCGGTTTGTATATAATGTTGAGCAGAAACGCGAATCATAAATTTTAGATAGAGTCGAGCGAGGTGTTACGCCACCTCGAAAGCGTGATACTTCAGCCGCGAATAATTTTTTTGACAAATTTGAACGTTTTAGATGAGGAGCGAGGAAGCTTTGGTCAGAATGTAAGAATAAGTATATGTATACGTTGAAAAGTATGAAATAACGTAATATCAAGTAATTGAAATTTATGAATATACTGATTCTTTCTCTCCTTCTCTCTCTCTCTCTGTTATTTCAAATTTTATTCAAGTAATTTTACAAGATATCTCGAAGAAAAATTGAATATCAGAGTGCTGTATTTTTCGATTGTCTTTCAATTTATCAATTTACTCGAAACCGCGATAATTAATTATAGAAACCTTTGGAATAACTGATAATTTTCAACGAATTCTATTATCTCTCTTGTTGAAGTTTATCGCAGGTACCGGTGACAGGTGGAAGGATTTAAGCGAGGGCCTCTAGAGACGCGAAAGAAAAAGAAGCCTATGGTTTTTGCGAATTCACATTCGCGCGCAAATCGCGCCAGCGCTAATAACATTAACGGTCCGGCGAGATTAACAGTTATTAAGAAACGTGAGAAAACCGATGCTCAAATAGTACGCTGCGCGTACTCGTGCGAGTCGGATATCTTAATAGGCGGGATATGAATACGGCCTCGTCGCGGCCTCACCGGTAAATCCCGTCGTTCCGTCCCGGAGCGAACGGATAAAAAGATGACTCTTTCAAACGGGCGCACGCACAGCGCGCATATATCTCACGGCAAGAGGTACGTGTACAATATATACATATACATACATACATACATACATATATTTTATATATATATATATGCACGCGTGCCTGCATGCCTTCTATTCTCAACGTGCCAGGCATATGAAAGCGTGCCCCGCGAGTTTATCGTCGAATTGAAAAATCAGTTCGGAAATGAAGCGAGAGGAAACTTCGCGTCCGCGAGCTCGTGTAATTAGGAGTCTTTTCGGAGCGACGCCGAACCGCGCAATATTACGCGACATTGTTGACGAGGGAAATCTCGAAGGAAATCTCTGTCCGCGGTGACGAGGTGTATTATAGCTTTCGAGAGAGCTTGCAACAACTGAATGGAGCTAACCATAATCTCCGGTAATATTCGTGATTGTTCGAAACGGAGGAAATTTTTTTCTACCGGAAATTTCGATCCTAATACGTGGAGGCTGTACCGAGCGGAAGATAATTAATTTTGTACGATGCCTATGAATCGTCCAATAAAATTTATATGACATTTATACTGGAGAGAAATTAAATTTTAGATTAAATAACATATTAAGCGCGCGCGCGTTTGATCGATATGCTAAATATGTATCGTGTGTCGCGGAAATACATTTTCTCTCGTGATATATTAATACTCGATTTCCATTAAATATTGCAGCAGAGCAAATTGCGATTACTGACGACATTCGTCAGAGAGCCAATTGCTCGGCCGATGAAATCATTCTCGACGAGGCGTCAGCCAGGCGAATTTATAACAGGCTTTAAGAATTTTAAACGGCTGAAAAGTCGCGACTGCGTGTACGCGCGAGGAAGCAACTCGTAAAATAATACTCGACTAAATTCGCGAGCCACGAATTTTACGCTCGTCACGAATAAATAATTCGGGGAAGCTTTTCGCGCGCTACGATGTATCTCGAGG